CAGTCATTGCAGTAACATATTTTTTCTGGTAGTGTAATACTGTACTTTGAATTCTCCTATACTATATACTGGTAAGATTGCTGCTTGTTTTATTTCTTCTCAGAATCCTCTGTAGACTTCATCTCTGTCTTTTCTTCTCAAATCCCTCTGGCTCTACCCTGCTTACCTGCTGCTTACCTTCCACTTTCCCCATAAAACCCTGTTCATTCTGGTCAGTTTCTCTTGTCTCTGAATCAGTCCTAATTTCTACCTGTTTGTCTGTCAAGAAAGATTATTCTATCAAGTCAAGTGGACTTTTCTTCTATTCTGGAGTAATTATTTTCCTATTATTCTAAAACTTAGAGCTTTTCAAAGTTAAGATCACATTCTGTATTTCATGAGGCTCTTCTAGATGGCTGTAATTTTCAGTTGATTTCTCTAAATTTTGTTTCATTTGAAATTCTCTGTTTTGCCTGGTTTTTTGATCTCTCTCCCACTGAATTGATAAGAACTTTATCTTATACTTAGGTATGCTCTACCAGCAATGTAATATAGTACTGGATATACATCAGGCATTAAAAACTTTTTGTTTCCATCTGAATTCCCCCCTCATCTTTTTTTATTTTTTTCTTCTCTCTACTCTTCCCATCCCTTCCCACTTCTTTTTTAACATTCCTTAGATTTACCTGATTATAGTTAATTCTTCCAGTGGCATTCAGCCTCAAAAAGTCTCCTGATTTAATATGTTAAATTTCTTTGTTGGGAAAAAATTTGCTTCATACTGTATTTTTAAATAATGTTTTAAACATGTATTAAAGTTTGGATTTCATATCTGTTTGACAATTGACCTATGCACATAAGCTAGTAAGAAGGCAAACTCACAGAAAATGTTTTACAATGAAGATCATATTTCCTTAGTTTACAAAGAACTTATATAAGCCAATAAGAATAAAAATTAGTAATGCAATAGAAAATGTGAATATAGGTTCTGAAAAGGCATTTAAGAAAAAAAGAAAAAAATAGAAATTTGGCTTTTTCATAGTTAAATGCAAATCACAATGAGGTACTACTTTTTTTTTTAGTCAGATAAATAAAAATTAAGTTTTATGGTACTTACTGCTGACAAGGGGAAATGGAGAAATGGCCATTCTAATGCATTGTTAGTGGGACTTCATTTGTCTGCAAGTAATAGAAATTAGGACTTCATTTGTCTGCAAATAATAGAAAACCTGTCTATTGATAGTAGTTTAAACTAATAGGGACTTAGTTTCTCGTACTGTGTGAAGTTGACATTGTGTTATTAGTAGCTTGATGATGTTAGGGCTGGCATTTGAAATTTTTTTTAAATTAAAATCTTTATTTTGAGAGAGAGAGAGAGCAGAGGAGGGGCAGAGAGAGAGGAAGGGAGAGAATCCACACTATCAGCACAGAGCCTGACGTGGGGCTCGATACTCTGAACCATGAGATCATAACCTGAGCCAAAAATCAAGAGCTGGACACCTAACTGACTGAGCCACCCCGGTGCCCTTGGCATGTTTGAAAAAAAAAAATGTTTATTTAAGTAATCTCTACACCCAATGTGGGGCTCAAACTAAGAGTTGCACGCTCTTCCTACTGAGCCAGCAGGTGCCCCAGGGCTGGCTCTCTTAATTTTCCTGGCCAACCCCTAATTGACTGCTTCACGGACATAGGTTGTTTTAGATATAATGTTCAAGGTGAGAAGAAATTGGTAGAACCTACACTATTTGTGACTGTTCTGTTTAATCAGAAAAGCAGAATCTTTCCCAGGGCTCTGTAGCAGATGTCTTTTTCAGTCTCATGATTCCTTCCTTATATGGGATTAGGTATATTGCTACTGTGACCAAGAACAGTGTTTTATTAGGAAGATGGTGAGAGGGGATATTGGATTAGGCAACTAACAGTGTCTTGCCACATGGCTAATGCAATTTTTTTAGAGGTGAAATGTCAGCATCTTCTCAGATTTAATATACATGTATTCTTTGATCCAGTGGTTCCATTGTTCAGAATTTACCCATGAGTAAGTTTCTGTTCTTCTGAGTTACTTAGAGAACTTGGTAGAAGTACAACTTTCTGGGGCTGAGTCTACATCTCAGAATCATTGGAGTTGGGACCAAGGAATCTGTATTTTAAAAAAATGGCCTACTAGGTGACTATTGACTGGAGCTGCATTTGAGAATTTCTGTATAGACTGTAAGGAAACTCAGTTGTTTTTTTTAAGGTTTCATTTTAAATGTTTATTTATTTTTGAGAGAGAGAGAGTGTGTATGTATGTGTGCACATGAACTGGGGAGGAGCAGACAGAGAAATAGAGGATCCTAAGTGGGCTCTGCGCTGACGGCAGAGAGCCCAGTGTGGGGCTTGAATTCCACAAACCCTGAGATCATGACCTGAGCCGAAGTTGTACCTTAACCGACCGACTGAGCTACCCAGGCACCCCCAGGAAACCCAGCTTTTTAAAGTAGACATTAAAAAAAAAGGCAGCCAGGCAGCCATTGGTATGCATAGCTGGCTTTTCTTAGAATGAAACAAAATGCCTCCTTTTTTCCTTCACTTGAGCCAAATTATTGCAGATAAGCCAAAAGAAGTAATCATCAGCCCAGTTATATAGGGAGAACAGGTGTTAATATCAAATATTTTTATTGTGTTTCATTTTATTTGGTATAAATACCTGTGTGTCTCTGTGTTTTCATGTATATAGTATATACATAGTGAACATCTTTCTGTATCAATACAAATGTATGTATTTCCTTTTTAATTATTATTTTGTATAAATATGCCATTTACTAAAGCAATTCTGTTAGTACTTCCTTCTCTGGTTGCTGTTATACAGTGTTGTAATGAATGCTTTTGAACAAATAAATGTTTTTGTGTGATTATTTCTATAACATGAAATACACACAATTTCCATTTGGTACATTTTACTTGACTGTCCACCCAAGAGATGTCTTTCTAATTGTTGCCAATTTAATATCTCATTTTAATTTACATCCTTATTAGTAAAGATATGATGCTTTCATGTTTATTGGTCACTTTCATTTCTTTTTTTGAATTACTTAGAGTCTTAGTCATCTTTTTAATTATATTGTACTACATTAAGTAATTGTGTATTCTGAGCACATTTTAAGAGTAAATCAGTTTTATGGTGTGTTTAGTTTTGAGAATAATCCCTCACTTTAATAAATAAGACACGTTTTATTATTCAATGATTCAGTTTCTATTTAAACTGTTAGTGAAAGGGATGAAGCCAGCTGTTAAAATCTATTGTGTTAATATTTTATAGGATAGGGGTGCCTGGGTCGCTCAGTTGGTTATGGGTCTGACTATTGATAGTGGCTCAGGTCGTGAGATGCCCCTGCATCAGGCTCGGCGCAGAGTTTGGAGCCTGCTTTGGGATTCTCTCTGCGCCCCTCCCCAACTCGCTTGTGCATGTAAGCTCTCTCTTTCCTTCTCTTTCTCTCAAACATTAAACAATTTTTATAGGATAAAATAATAATCTCTTACTATTTTGTGCTCTTAATGAGATGATTAATTTATTATATTTCAAAAATGTTTATTTATGGGGGGTAGAGCATGAGCACGGGAGGTACAGACAGATGGGGGAGAGAGAATCCCAAACAGGCTCCATTTCTCAGCATGGAACCCATGCAGGGCTGGATATCACAAAACATGAGATCATGACCTGAGCTGAAATCAAAAGTTGGATGCTTAACTGAGACACCCAGGCACCCCTGAGATGATTTAATTTAAAAGACTTTATGCAGTTGCTATCCAGATTGCCAAACTTTCATAAATGTATTTTTAATAACTTTATTCATTAAAAAATCACTTTAATTTTTTAAAATCTTATTTTGTATCTTCTGTAATAAAATCAAACCTAAGGGTACCTGGGTAGCTCAGCTGGTTAAGCATCTGATTCTTGGTTTCAGCTCAAGTTATGATCTCATAGTTTGTCGGATTGAGCCTTGTGTCGGGCTTTGCTCTGACAGCATGAAGTCTGCTTGAGATTCACTCTTTCTACCTCTCACTGTGCTCCTCCCCTGCTCTTGTGCATGCTCGTGTGCATGCTTTCTCTCAAAATAAATTTAAAAAGTTAAACCTAGTTGCTAGCAGTTTTAAAATTTATAAGTATTTGTGTTTTCTTTCTCCTTTCTAAAACTTTATCCTCAGCTAAGTAATGAACCTCTCTCTGAAACATTTATATCCAAGGCCAGAATATGTTTTGTTAATTTTATTTTTATCCTACAGAACAAATATTAAAGATATTTTGGTTTTCCAGGATTAATAGCAAGATAAATTTAGACATTGGGTTTTTTATTTTTAGCTAGCTAGGAAACATTGAATTCTAGATATGATTATTTCTTGAGGGAGCAAGCATAACACTCATTATTGAAGAATGAATTAAATCCACCTTTACTTCATTTTTACTCAAGCACCCAGCAATAAATAGCAAAATTTTGGGGAAATTTAGATGTTACAGAAATTCATTTATAATATAGAAACTAGCCTGGAGCCTGCTTCAGATCCTGTGTTTCCCTCTCTCTCTGCCCCTCACCTACTTGCATTCTCTCTCAAAAATAGATAAACATTAATTTTTATTTTTTTATATGTACGGAAACTAATAGGGCACCTGGGTCACTCATTTAAGCGTCTGACTCTTTGTTTCAGCTCAGGTCATGATCTCACGGTTTCAAGCCCCACATTGGACTCTGCGCCGGCAGCTGGGAGCCTGCTTGAGATTCTCTCTTCCTCTCTCTTTCTCTCTGCCCTTCCTCCACTTGTGCTGGCTCTGTCTCTCTCAAAATAAATAAATAAACTTAAAAAAATTTAAATACAGAAACTAATAAACTTGCTAATAATAACTTACAGGAGAGATCAGAATGAAATTACTGTATTGCTTTAGTAACTAAATTACTATTGCTTTAGTAACTGTGGCTTTTAAAAGGTGATTTCGATGATGACAAATAAACATTTGGAAGATGTTCCTCTTTGTGTTTCCACAGATCATTAACTGAAGACAAAATAAGCAACTATGCAAAATTCTCACATGGAAGAGTACAGAAATTCTACTAATGGCAGCACAGGCAACAGTTCAGAGGTAGTGGTAGAACAGTCTGCTGATTTCAGTACTGAGATTATGAATGTTACGGAAATGGAACAGTCCCCTGATGGATCTCCTAATGTGAATACATCTACAGAAGAAAATGAAATAACAAATGTTGTGGACCTTCCAGTGACAGAAACGGAAGCAAATTTCCCTCCTGAATATGAAAAATTCTGGAAAACTGTAGAAAACAATCCTCAGGATTTTACAGGCTGGGTATATTTGCTTCAGTATGTAGAACAGGAGGTTAGTAACTATTTAAATGGGACTAGAGGGACAGGTTAATCAAGTAATACCTGATGAGGCTTTATTGTTTTGTAATTAAAGTTGCATCTTTTATAATTTTCAGATTAAGTTGAATAACATTAGATATATACATTTTTTGACTTCAAAGGATAACTTTCATAGCATTTGTATGTTATGGAAAGACAATATTAATAGAGTCAAAGTCTAACATTTGTAAAAATTGGTGTGTGTGTGCATGCATGCATGTGTAGAATCACTGAATTAAAAGGTTACCTTTGAATACCTTGCTATTCAACAGAATTATGTGCTTTTGTTTCAAAGGATTAAGATTGTATATGCAGGAAAAAGAGATGTTGTGTGTGTGGTTTTTAAACCTGTCATTTATTTTGAGATATTACATTTGGAAGAAATAATAAATATTTTCTGACAGAAACCTCCAAGGTTTTTAAACACCTTGTTTTATTTTCATCAGAATCACTTGATGGCTGCCAGGAAAGCGTTTGACAAATTTTTCATACACTATCCGTATTGCTATGGTTACTGGAAAAAGTATGCAGACCTTGAAAAGCGGCATGACAACATTAAACAATCAGATGAGGTGCGTACATTACTGAATAAAATTGTCTCCATTAGGTACTGTAAGCCAAATAATAACAAAACAAAGACTTTTTTTTTTGGCTGGCAGTACCTACGATTTATGGTCAAACAATTTTATAGGGTATTTTATTTGCATTTGTCACTCTTGTGGCATTTGTAGCTAATATTTTCTCTCTTTGTTGGCAGGTGCGTTAAACCTCTACAGTTTGTCAAGCTTTGCAGTGCAAGCCTCTGTATTACACTGCAGCTTAACAAGTAGGGCAGGGCTTTTCTCTCACTTACATTTATTTCTCATTTTCCAAACAATATAGTTGGTTTGCTAGTCACATTTGCTACGTCTTATTGCATTTTTGGTCAGACGCTGTCATTGATGCTCTAATGGGTCTGTGCCCTATGGTCTGTAACCCAAAGCCTGCCCACACAACCCGGTCAGAATGCAGGGACTGCTGCGCTTTGAAGATCAAGACTCTGCACGTGGGGATCAGAACATTGCCATGTTCTATCCAACCTCCACCCAAATGGTAATGGTAGATTATTTAAACAAAATTCCAGTAATTAGTATTTCTAAGGTTCACCGGATAACACAGTGTTGCCTCTCTGTTAAGAAATAATTAAATATTTGAAGTACAGTTTGTTGTTTTCTTCTTAGGTGTATCGGCGGGGGCTTCAGGCAATACCTCTTAGTGTTGACCTATGGATACATTATATAAACTTCTTAAAAGAAACATTGGACCCTGGTGATCCTGAGACAAACAGCACAATAAGAGGGTATGGGAAACATTGATATTCAAATGTATTCAAAGTAGGAATAAGTATTCTGATGTTGATAATAGAACTACTTATGAATGGTAAACTGAATGTTTAACATGTATTTCTTTTTCACTATTTAAAAAAATGATACATGTGGGGCGCCTGGGTGGCGCAGTCAGTTAAGCGTCTGACTTCAGCCAGGTCACGATCTCGCGGTCCGTGAGTTCGAGCCCCGCGTCGGGCTCTGGGCTGATGGCTCAGAGCCTGGAGCCTGTTTCCGATTCTGTGTCTCCCTCTCTCTCTGCCCCTCCCCCGTTCATGCTCTGTCTCTCTCTGTCCCAAAAATAAATACACATTGAAAAAAAAAAAATGATACATGTAATAAACTTATGCATGAATATAAAAATTGCAAATAAAAATATCCTCCTTCATTTGACAGCTCTGTTCCTTATGTCCCCAGTCCCATTTCTTTTGTGGTTTATAAATTGTGTGTTCTTTAATACATACATAGATGTACATACATGTGTGCATTTTGTACATATATGATTTTTTAAAAAATATAACAGAATGCTTTGGAATCTCTCCCTACTGTATTTTTTTTAACCATTGCATAAGTATTTTGTAGTGTCAAAGGTACTGTCTTTTATTTGACCAAATCCTTATTCATAGGAAATAATCAGTGCTGTAGTAAACATGTCTGTACAAAGTCATTATTTATGTAGAGCATGCTAGAAATGGAATTTCTGTCAGAGAATCCAGGGCTAAGTTTTATCAAGTGTTATTTCAAAAGTGGTATCATTTTTAAATTCCCACAATATACACGAGTAGTCTTATTTCCCAAAGCCGTCCATGCCACTTCCAGTGGTAGCTCGTTATTTTAGTTTGTGTATCTCTAGATTGTTCATCCTAGTTTGTTGTTTTTTTCATATACTTGTATAAGCCATTTACTCATTGCCTGTTCATATCATTTGCTCATTTTACTTTTGGATTGTCTTTTTCTTACTGATTATAAGCATTTTAAAATGTGTTTTCTTTTTTTATCAAAGTATGTGCATATAGTTTAAAAAGTCAGTGTTAAACTGCTTAAGTGTTAAACCCCTGTTGAACTATTTTAGCTGTTTTTTTCTGACATTTTCCCACATGTTTATAATAGCAATTCTTTACTGCTCTTTTCTGTCTCTTCAGTTCTTAAGATTCTGTGATGGTAGAGGAGAACTTTAGCTAATGTATACTCTGTTTTCCCTTTACTTATTTTCCACAATGGATAGGTTTCAAAGCCTTCTATTTTTCTTGGAGTTAATTACCCTTTCTTATATCTCCCTCTTTTTTCCCATTTGCTTAGTTTTTCTTTGAACATTTAAAATTTCCCACTCCCTCCCAACAGCTAATTTCAGTAGTCAGTACTAATACAGACTTTCCACGATGTACGAATGCTTTGTTAAGTCATTTTTTGAAACTAAAAAAGTGTATATATCTAGTGTTATTCTACTTAATCTGAAAACTGTTAAAGTTATACTCAGAAATATAGAAATTCCATTTTTTACCCTTCCTCTTGATGGAGTATTCCTCTTGGAACCTTCTTTTCTGTAGTCTGGATTGGTCTCTGTTTCTATCTATCGTACAGCAGTTATTTTGGAATTTCCTTCTTCTCCTAATTCTAGCATATGTCTTTACTTCTTTCCTTGGTTTCAGGCTCTATTTTTGAGAGTTTATTAGATGCTACTTTTTCCTGATTGATGTGTGCCTTTAGAGGAGTGTAACTTCTTGATAAAGGATGCTTGGGATGAAAAAAATTAAGATTTTGTATGCCTGAAACACTTAGTTGATGGTCCAATGGGGTATAGAACTTCGAGTTGGAAGTAATTTTTCCTTAGGGCTTTGAAGGCATCTCTCCATTCTCATATTGCTTCTGGTGTTGTTATTCAGAAGTATGATAATGCTCTTCTGGATTCCCTTTATATGACTTGTTTTTCCTCATGGAAGCTTATAAAATGATTTATCTTTGATAAAAATGCAGTTTTGTTTGTTTTTTTGTTTAAAGAGTAGATCTTTGTTTATTTACTTATTTTGAGAGAGTGTGAGCAGGGGAGGGGCAGAGAGAGAGGAAGAGAGAGAATCCCAAGCAGGCTCTGTGCTACTAGCACAGACATGGGCTTGATCTCATGAGCTGTGAGGTCATAACCTGAGCCGAAGTCGAGTCAGATGCTTAACCAACTGAGCCACCCAGGTGCCCCCAAAATACAGTTTTCTAATGATATGCTTTGGCGTGGGTTTTCTTTTTCTAATTCATTGTGTTTTACTTAGTGGGTCTTTTCAATCTAGGGTGCTCATGTCTTTCTGTTCTGAGAAGTGTTATTATTAGGGTACCTGGCTGGCTTAGTCCATAGAACATGCAACTCTTGATCTTGGGGTTGTGAGTTTAAGCTACATGTTGGGTGTAGAGTGTACTTAATAAAATTAAAATAAAACAAAATAATTAGTACTGTATTTATTTTTGTGTTGCTAATTTCCTTTCTATGTTTTTCTCTGTTTTAGTTGTTGGACATTGGATCTTGTTTTAGTCATTTAATTTTCTTATCTTTTACTTTTTTCATGTCAGATTTTGTTTGACTTTTTGAGGTATT